TCTGTGCAATTTGCTGTATTTTAGGCATTTTCTTAACCAAGAGTCACACATGCAGAATACATGTACATAATGCAGTGTGGTAATAAGTCACAGTACCTTTTACATGAGGTTCATAGTTGAGATAACCAGAGAGGAGGATAGAGATGGAAACAAGGAAAACAATAAAAGACAAAACCAAAGACCGGCGGCCTTTCTTCTTTCTATTAGTGCTGCCTGCGGTGCAATCACCTCCTAAGGAACAGCGATTAGATGGTCTACCGGAGCTGGCTTGACAATAGTTCCAAAATCCATTGAGTCCAATACTCATTCTCCATTGAGTGATATCGATCATTTTCAAAGGCTTGTTTTGGGGGAGCTGGAGCTGAGGTAGATCTAGATACCGCCCAATGGGCGTGTCTGTGTGCATAGCTTGATCCATAGGTACGAAGAAGTTCTCCTACATAGACTATCTCCTACAGTCTTACCTAAAGGAATGGCTGCTCGTGATAATCCTGTAAGTTATATATAATCTGATTGCAGTACATGCTAGAGTGATGAAGAAGTTTCAGGTTTGTAGCCATGCAGGGGCCAACCCCATTCAGTTCTAGAGAAACTCAGCTAAGTCAGCCTGCATGGTGTGATCATAGATATTAGAGTAGGATGGTGTGGTCATACTGAACCAGTCGTCACTTCAAAGTTGCTGCACTCAAGTTCAGTATCAAAATTTCCAAACCTGGCTATGGGCCTTCAGCCTGGTCTATATCAGAACACGTTCCTTTTTGTCTTTCTCATCCTGTGCATGTACTGTATATAGATCAGACACATCAATAGGAGATTGAGTATGATGATGAGACTGACTTTAGTGAATTACACATAATGTTAGATAATGCCTGAACCAAACAAAACTTGATTGTGTATTGTAGCTGCATGGTAATTTTTGAAGAGGGATTTGGGCAAATTTGGTATAAGCCATTCACCAAAATAAAACCCAAACTTGCTCTGATACATTGCCACAAATTTGCTAGACCATTGATTAAAACTGATAAAAGTACTATGCCAAGATTTTATTCCTCAAAATTATCATCTTGTGGTTACATTGTGACATTTTTGTGCATGCATACTGTCACTATTTTTTATAGCTCTTGAGAAATTGCAATGCGCATAAATACTTTTATATCCATTGATGGGATTAGAATGAGCAGTATAGTGTAGCATCATTAGGTTTAGTGTAAGGCATATAGCTGTTAATGAATTCAAAATTGAAGATAATCAAAAGCTACATGTACATGTACATTATGTTGGTTTAAATAAGTATCTAATTATGCTTTGAGAAGTAAATTTTTACAAGTACTGAAATTTATAAATAATAGCCTATGTATATATGCATGTAGGAGTGATGAAATATAATAACTGTTAATAGTACACTTAACACTGTAGGGAAAGCAGCTGTATATTGCTGCTCATGATAGAAACATTAAAGAAATGAAGTCTGCCCTCTCCAATGGGGCAGACATCAACTGGGAAAACCCTGATGATGTAAGTGCATCCTTATTTGCCTGATGGATATGTAAATGTATGCATATCTATGGTAGAAGTGTACAATAACTATACGAGGGT